TCGGCTGTGGTCTGCCCCTCGGCCCGGCCCGGCCCGGCCTGCGGCCCTAGGTCTCGGCCGGCCGGGGACACGATTTTCTTTTATTAAAAGCAAGGTCGCCGGGTACAGCTCTGGGCGGCTCCGGGCCCGTGTAAATACTCGACAAAACCGCTGAGGTTTCTTGCATTCCCTCTCCCGACCGTGCCTTTTCTCCCCATTTTGTGCCACTCTCCTATTCCCTTTCTCTTCTTTTTCACTTCTCGTTCACATCTACCAGCCTCCCTAACCCCCATCCCCCTATACCCAGCAGCTTGCCTCTGTGTCGGAAGAAAATAACATGTACAGTGCTGCCTCCCTCCTTCTCCTCTTACGCTGTCATTTTTGCAAAAGAAAAATGGTGGTCTGACGCGGCTCCATTTGTCACCCCCCGCCCCCACACTCCGCAGCACCCCGACTCGGCCGTGCGCTCCACTAACCTCCTCTATGAGCTCGTTGCCGTGGATACAGAAGAGGTAGATCTGCGCCATGGAGTACAGGACGTAGCCCGCCGTGCTGCAGGCGAATACGTCGAAGTCGCTAACCTGGCAGTGCGAGAGAGCGATTAAAAGAAATGCATTCGTGACGAGGATTCTTTTCTGACTTTTTGTTTTGAGTGTCTTGAAAAAATTGAGGGACAAACGCTCATGCCTTTGTGGCTTGATAGGCGAGGATGGTTAGGATGACGGTAGCGTTCAGCATGTGCAGTAGCAGCTCTCCGCCGAAGGCCAGCGAGATGTAAGACACGAACCTGAGGAACAGAACGTTGAGGAATTCAAACACATATGCCAGATAGTAGGACGTAAGTTACGGTTCGCAGGCAAACGCATTCGAGCACACCCAGTACACCGTAAAACCAAGTGTGTGAATATCGCACACTTGTAGGTGTGTGAACGGCATTTGTGGACATAGAATCACAAGTGCGTGAATGTTCCCTTGAGAATTTACACTTTCTCTCCCTTCAGTATACGAATGGGCATTCCATCACACACCTACAAGAAGTGTGCGCGACATTCACACACTTGCGTTTCCAGTGTATACACACACACACACACACACACACACATCGCCCCCTGGAGCGCGAGCTGCGTCGAGTGTGGCGCCGGGGAGCCACACCATGCAAATAGCGGGTGAGGGGGTTCCCGCAGGGGTGCACGCACGCCAGCCGCGAGGCCAGCGTGGCGGTGGTGGTCGTGGCCTCCTCCTGGGCCAGCCCCGCTTGGCCCCGCCACGCCCCGCCACGCCCCGCCAGGCCCCGCGCCACGCCTCGCTACGCCGCGCCCCTCCAGCATCTGCGGCTGGCGCTAACAGCGCGGCCCGGAGTGGTCATCCGAGAGAGCAATGGGAAGGGGGGGGAGGGGGAGAGGGAGAGGGTGGCAGAGGACTCATAGTCACAGAGCAAGCGGAGAGGGGGAGGGGTGGGGGCAGAGGACTCATAGTCACAGAGCAAAAAGTAATGGCGCGTGAGGGATTCGCCGCAGCAGCCGGGTGGGAGTGAATAACGAAAATAATAATTCCTCCGAAACACAAAAACGAAAACGCTGCTGCGCAGCGCGCGACTTCTTTTGCTTCCTCCTCCTCTGTTCTCTTCTTGTACCCGTCTCGTGTTTTGCAGGGGGGGACTGGCAGCGCTGATTGGTTGGCGCGGGCACGACGGGCGACCGCTCCCCGGGCGCCGCATTTTAGCTTCCCACCTCCTCTCTCCTGCCCTTCTTTCATCCAACCTCCCCCCTCTCCCTCCTCCGCACACCCACCACGCGCGCGCGGCTGGGTCTGCGTGAGCGGCACACCAAGTGGGCTTCCCTGGAAGGTCCTGAGGAGGCTGCCGCAGCTGCCGCAGCTGCCGCCGCTGCTGTGGGTGGCGGGCCGAGGCTCGAGGGCTGAGCCGTTCGCCCTGAGGGAGAGGCGATCACCGGGACTGGGAGTGCCGCGCCACACCACACCACACCAAACCACGCCGCGCCAACGCCAGGCCGCCGGAGGGTGGAACAACTTCACAGCCCTTTCCGCCAAGTACCGAGCTGCGGGGAGCAGGAGCAGGAGCGGCGGCGGCGGTCCACTCGCAGTTTCCACTTTGGCGGGTTGCAGGGGGCGGGCGGGGGCCGGGGGTGAGAGGAGGAGGCAGCCCCCCCCCCTCCCCCCGCGCACGATGAATATCGGACGCGTCGTGTTATCCCCCCCCCCTCCCCTCAGTGCTGCGGTCCCCGGCGGACACAATGAGGGCCACTGCGGCGGCGGCAGCGTGGGGCCCCTCTCCGTGTGGACCCACTTTGGACCCACTTAGCCACACAAAAACTGGCGGCCGCGCTCTGATGGGCCGCCGCGCCGCTCGCTGTCGGTCTGGCCCCGCCCCGCCCCCTCGGCAAACTCACAGCAGCGCCACTCCAAACCGATCCGCCCCGGGGGGCGGCGGGCCGACACTCACTTGACGAGCTGCTTGTGGCGCTCCACCCAGTACTTGATGGCCGAGCGCACGAAGACCTCCTCCTTGACGGCCATGCTGTCGGTGTTCTTGGCCACGGTCAGCGTGTTGGTCATGGGCAGCGGGTTCACGTCCTCCACGGACGGCGGCCGGTCCCCGTTGACGCTCACGGGCGGCAGCTGCCCCTGGATGAGGTTGGCCTGGCCGCGCGCGTTGTTGAACATGTTGCGGTAGTCGAGGTCCATCATGTCTGAAAACGCACGAACATAGTAAACTTCGTCTCGCTGAGAAGAAAAACACGCTGGTATGCGATACGATTTGTGCAGATTTAATTCAACTAAATAGCCATCGAGATGGTTCCACGCGGTGTGCAGGAGCGGGCCGGGCTGGGCGCCCGTTGGGTGCGAGGTAGGCCACCCGGTGGGCGCGCGCGCCGTGCGGGCTGGCCTACCCCGTACTCAGCGGGCGCCCGCCGCCGCCCGCCGCCGCCGCCCCCTGGAGACTGCTCACCGGGCATGACGAGGTTGTGCTTGGCGCTGAACACCGCCTGCGTGGTGAAGATCTTGCCGTTGGACGGCGCGATGCCGGAGGCGGGCGAGAAGGCGGCGCTCAGCTCCATGAGGGGCCTCAGGATCTCCTTGAGGTGGCGGAGCTGGCCGCACGCGTGCACCACCACGTTGGCGAGCAGCACGTCGTACATGTTGGCCTGGCCGAGCATCACTAGCAGCCAGTACACCTGTAACAAGGTTTGCGTGTCGGAATCTGTCGGGAGTGTGACCCGGTATGGTGCTGAGGGAGTTTAGAATTTGAATTGTCCCCGGAAAAAGTATAAACTTTTCCAGAACTAAAACCCGGAAAAATTCGAAATGTTTCCTGGAAATTGTCTTAATAAAATAAAGTTTTGAAGGAACATTTAAAGAAAAAATCACCTAGAAAAATTTCCCAAGAGACACTTTCTATAAAAGGAAAATCGGAAAATCTCTAGTGCGTGACTCACCTGGTAGCCGAAGCTGAACATGTACGCCGGGCCGTGGCGCGCGTCCCACGGGTACCACGCGCCCACCATCAGCTGCGGCACCTCCACCGTGATGGTCGCGTTCTCGTTCTCGGGGTCGGGCACGTTGCGCACGGGCTGCGCCACGAAGGTGATGCCGATCCAGCACATGACCGAGACCACGGTGAGGGCGATCAGCTGCGAACCAGAGCGAGAGACCAAACGATGTGTTACGGGCATGCTCGGTCGGTGTGATCGCGAGGCGGGCAGAGAGAGCTCACCTGCATGAGCAGCCGGCGCTGCCGCTGCAAGGTCTGCTGATGGTGCCGCGCGTCGTTCTCCGCGAACATCGGATGGCTGTTGGTCGTGTTCCAGCAGTCCAGCATCCGGTAGAACCTAATTGGTAACAGGAAAAAAAAGAGCAAGGGGGCGACTTTTTAGCCGTGGTTTCTCTTTTATTTTTCATCATTTCCTTTTGTGCCTCTCTTTTTTGTCGGCTTTATTGCCATTTCCGACCGCGTAATCTCGTTATCTGCTCTGCTCTGAGTCGGACCCCCCGACCCGACACCACAGACTGCCGTCGAAAAGTTGCTCGAGAGAGAAAGCTCGGTTCAAAATGGCAAACTCGCGCCGTTAGCGCACCGTGACCCGCAATCCGTCTTGTTGGCAGACCGCCCCTCCCCTCTCCCCTGCCTCTCCCCCTTCTTCCAGCCGAGACCTCGCTGTGCGGGGGTGGCGCATATGGACGACATGCCCAATACCAGCAACGCCCACACAAGAAGCAGAAAACTATTTATTTCTTTGTTGTTTTCGCGTTTTTATTTGTTTATCGCGACTGCTGATGCCAATAATGGTTTTGCGGTTTGTGTTTTTTTTTCTAATTTACAATAACTTACGCTTAGCAACGTGATTTTCCCATATGCATCTATACTTTTATACTTTTATAATGTCCCAATCAAGAATAGATTTTGAAAACAAACAATCGAAATGTAAGTTTTGGGCTGTGTTCCAATTTTTCCCCCGCATTTTTAGAAATGTTTTAAAGGGTCCGATATCCACAAATATTCTGCAGAGTCTACAATAGAATTGGTTGGTTCTCTTTCTCATCGAGAGTTAACGCTAGCAGCTGCCGCCCTCAACGTTTCATCTTCTAAAAACCGTGTGCTTCCACTTGGACTTGCAAAATGGGTCTGTTTTCCGCGACAGTGTAGACGTTGCGCCGCCATATCGACATGTATCGCCCCTCCCATCGATTGACCGGGTGGCCTGCTCGTCTATGGCCGCCCTCACCTGCGGGGCGTGCGGTGCGGGGCGTGCGGGGAGCAGAGGAGACGTCACCGCTGTGCGAAGGGGACAACAGCTGCTGCATCCGAAAGTGTCGCTGGCGCCTCCCGACACGAGGACGATGATGATCTATCTCTCTTCCTCCCCCCCCCACCCTCTCTCTCTCTCTGTCTCTCTCCGTCCCCCTCCGTCCCTCTCGTCCTATTTCGGACGAGGTGATGGCCCCTAGAGGTGCATGATGACGATGATCGATTGCAGCGGGGATAGGCTACGACAACAGACTTACGCCAGCAGGCTCTGCGCGCTCTGTGGGTTAATGTCAGAGTTCTCCCTCCCTGTGTTTGACGGCGCCGTTGGCGCGAGATCAATGGGTAATTGTCATTAATTAGCCGCTGCTGCCGTTGCGGCGGGGGAGAGAGAGAGAGAGAGAGAGAGAGAGAGAGAGAGAGAGAGAGAGAGGGGGGGGGGGGGGGGGGGGGGGGGGTCGAGGAGGGAGTGGAGGGGGCGGGAGGGCTTGAGGACAAGAGTCCCTTACCATGCTGCTGCTCCGTGAGCTGAGCAACACGATCCCCGCCCCGGGGGATGCCAAAGGGGGGGTGGGGGAGCACAGCCGAAGGGTGCCCGGCCCCACCCCGCCCCAGCGTCCTGCAAGACCCCAAGGCCCCGGGGACCCGGGGGTGTGCCGCTGCCGGGGCGTGCTCCTTCAAAGGGCGGGGGGCGGGGCGGGGAGGGGCGCACGGTCAGAGGCCCCAGACATCGCTCCCGCCGGGTCCTTGCGGCGTGCGGTGCAGAGCGCCTCCTAGTCCCACGACGGTGTGGTATCTGCTCGGTCTTGTCCTGCCTTCCATTCGACCCTCCCATCGGGTCTCGTCTGACACAAATCGGCTAACGAACGGAGATGCCGTCGAGGAGCCAAAGTGCCGCACTCGCCCCCTCCCCTCATTCGTATGATGTCCTCCTAGACCGCCACGCCCGCCCGCCC